CGGCACCCTGCCTGCACCCTGACTGTGCCTTGGCTGCCCGCAGCCTGCTGGGGCTGGCAGCACCCTGCCCACGCCCTGCCTGCTCCCCTGCACCTTGCCCGCGTCCCACTGCCGCCCTGTGCTGTGGCCAAGGATGGCAGCTGCCTGCACCTGTGCCCCATGGCACCCTGTGCTGCCCTGCCTGCCCCTGTGGCTCCCTGCCTGCATGCTGCTGGATCCCAGGCGGCTGCTGGATCCCCACCTCAGAGGTATCTTGCCGGCTCCCTCCTGGTTCTGTGCCATGCTGCCAGCTGTCCCCACCCTGTCCCATCCTGCCTGGTGCTGCCAGCTTCCCTGTCCCATTCCCACCAGCTCTCCCCTGTCTTGTCCAGGGCTGCCAGCTTTCCCTGTCCGTCCCTGTCAGTTCTCCTCCGTCCTCCCCCATCGCTACAACACCCCACATCCCACTCCATGCTGTCTGCCAGTTGCCCACGGGTGCCTGCGGGCTCTGATCTTCCTCGTGCCACAGGTTTAGGCCTGGCCTCTATGGTGATCGTCTTCTTCTGCAACTCCTACTACATCATGATCTTAGTGTGGGGGCTCTTTTATCTGGTGCATTCACTGACGGACACCCTGCCCTGGGCCACCTGTGGCCACTCCTGGAACACAGAGCAGTGCACGGAGCTCTTCAACCCAGACCTGTGCCACAATGTCAGCACTAATGCCACTGCCAGCACTTGGACCTCTAACTTCAGCTGCACAGACATGACCAACAAGCGCTCACCCGTCATTGAATTTTGGGAGTGAGTATGGGAACCAGGAGGATGTTGTGTGGGGCTGGGGGTGTCATGCTGGTGCTCAGCACAGCCCCACTCTGCAGGAACAAGGTGCTGCGTCTCTCTGGGGGCCTCAGTGAGCCAGGGGAGATGAACTGGCAGATGATCCTCTGCTTGGTTACCACCTGGGTCGTTGTCTACTTCTGCATCTGGAAGGGTGTCAAGTCGACTGGGAAGGTAATACTGGCAGAGGGAACATGCATCAGGGCCACTGGCATGAGCGAATGGGACTGCAACACGCAGCACTGCTGGCTCCTGCTCTTCTGTGCCACAGCCCACAGGGGTGGGAGGCCCGTGTCCCACATCTGTCCAGGAGGTGCTACCAGCTGCTGGGGACATTCCCAGGCTCTGGTCCTGCTGGGACACCTGTGGCACATGACTGAGAGACCTAGCCTGGGGGGGTCTCATGGCCACCCACTGCTCTTCAGATTGTCTACTTCACGGCACTCTTCCCGTATGTGGTCCTCATCCTGCTGCTGGTCCACGGAGTAACACTGCCTGGCGCGCTGGGTGGCATCATCTACTACCTGAAACCTGACTGGTCCAAGCTGGTTGAGGCACAGGTGAGGGCAGTGGGGAGAGCAGCAGTTGGGTGCTACATGCCCCCCTGGCACCCCCATCACCGCCTGACACCCTCCCTCACACCCAGGTCTGGATTGATGCTGGCACCCAGGTCTTCTTCTCCTACGCCATCGGGCTGGGTGCCCTGACCGCACTGGGCAGCTACAACCGCTTCCACAACAACTGCTACAGGTAAGGCTGTGCCAGCTGCAGGCAGTCCCCATGGCGTGTCCCAGTGACCCCATGGTGTGTCCCCCAGTGCCCCCCAGCACTTCCTTGGATGCTGTGCCCACAGGGATGCCTACATCCTGGCTGTGATTAACAGCTGCACCAGCTTCTTTGCCGGCTTCGTTGTCTTCTCTGTGCTCGGCTTCATGGCCTCTGAGCAAGGCGTGGACATCTCCAAGGTGGCCGAGTCTGGTGAGTGATGGACGGTGGGTGCCAACTGTGTTTTCTGTGTCACCCTTTGAGTGGCATCTCTGACCCCAGTCTCCTGCAGGTCCTGGGCTGGCTTTCATCGCCTACCCCAAAGCTGTGACGCTGATGCCCTTGTCCCCCCTGTGGGCCACTCTCTTCTTCATCATGCTCCTCGTGCTGGGGCTGGACAGCCAGGTGCTGTGGCAACCAGGGAGATGGGGAACAGGGAGCGGATGGGTGGCATGTCCTCACTGAGCCCTGCTTTGTGCCACAGTTTGTCGGTGTCGAGGGTTTCATCACGGGCATCCTGGACCTGTTTCCCCAGCCAGGGGCTGGCTCGCTGCGCCGTGAGCTCACCGCTGCGTTCTGCTGTATCATCTGCTGCCTCATTGACCTCTCCATGGTCACACAGGTGGGGAACGCAGCAGGGACACTGCCGGCCAGCCCCACACTGGCCACCTGCGCCCGTTCCTGAGGCATCACCTCCCGTGAGGTCCCACTGTGGGGTGGGAGTTCACTGGGGCTGTTGCTCTTGTGTCAGTGGAGCTGCCCATGTCATGAGGGTCTCTGTGGCATAGGGGTGCTGTTGGGAGCAGGGTGCCCATGGCACGCAGGGTGCCAGGAGGGGTACCGGTGCTGGCAAGGCTATGGCTGCCAGTGTGGTGGCATGCGGGGCAGCCAGCACAATACAATGCTGGTGACGCGGGCACCTTCCTGGCAGGGCGGCATGTACGTATTCCAGCTCTTTGACAACTACTCAGCCAGTGGGATCACGCTGCTGTGGCAGGCTTTCTGGGAGTGCGTGGTCATTGCCTGGGTCTATGGTGAGGCAAGGGGACCGGGGAGGGGGACACGGGGGGGACAGATGTGCCCCAGCTGACGCACCCCTCCCTGCAGGAGCTGACCGCTTCATGGACGATGTGGCTCGTATGATCGGCTACCGACCCCTGCCCGTCATGAAGTGGTGCTGGGCTGTGGTGACACCGCTGGTCTGCGTGGTGAGCAAGGCCAGCGCGCGTGGGGACACGCGTGTGCCACCGCCCCGGGCTGTGCCACGGGCACTGAGCGCCCCCCGGCGGCCGCTGTGGGCACACGCGGGTCACGACCGTGGGGCGAATGCTCACCTCGGGGGCTGCGGCGGTGACACGCTTCAGGGGTGGGGACCGCCAGCTCCCTGCCCCGCGGGACCTCACTTCCCTCTCTCCACCCAGGGCATCTTCGTGTTCCACGTGGTGAACTACAAGCCGCTGACATACAATAAGACATACGTGTACCCGTGGTGGGGGGAAGCCATCGGCTGGGTCCTGGCACTCTCCTCCATGCTCTGCATCCCCTGCACTGTTATCTACAAGCTCCTGCGCTGCAAAGGCTCCTTGCGTGAGGTGAGGGCAGTGCGGTGGGATCACTTCTGCCTCTGTCTCCACCCCACTGTTGGCCGTGGTTGTCCCACTCTTAGTCCTGTCCCCAGCCCAGTCCCGGCCCTATTGAAATTCCACCATCCACATTGCTATCTCAGTCCCATCCATCACCAGATCTCATCCTGGTTTTTATTGCTGTCTGATTCACATTCAAATGCCACCACTGTCCACATTGCCATCACAGGCCCATCCACAGCAAGGTCCCATCTCTGTTTTCATCTGTCTCATTCCCATACAAATAATGTGCCTGTCCTCATTGTCTCACTCCCACCCAAATTCCATTCCTGTTCCCATCACTGTCTCATTCCCAGTCTTACCTGATTCCCACTGATGCTTACATCACTGTCTCAGTCCTATCCCTATTGCAGTCAAATCCTGTGCACATTCCCATCGCTGTCTCCTTGCAATTCCTGTCTGTCTCTCAATCTCATTTAGTCCTTTTCCCATCCTAGGCTCACCCCCATCCAAGTCCTCTTCCTGTCTTCATTGCTCTCATTCCTATCAGATTTCCATCCCCACTGCTGTCTCATTCCCAGCCTCACCCAAACCCCATCCTTGCTGACATCACTGCTTTAATCCTGTCAGTGTCTCAGTCCCATCCCTGTCCCCATGCAATCTGTGTCCCTTTCTCAATCCCATTTCAATCCCTTCCCTGTCGCAGTCTCACCTCCACCGGCATCGGAAACCCATCCCTTTCCTATCCCTGTGCATTGCGGGGAATTCACCAACGTGGGTCCAGGCAGTCCCAGTGTCCCTGGGTGCTGACACGATGTCCCCACAGCGCTGGCAGCTCCTGACCACTCCAATCTGGGGCCAACACCACCTGGAGTACCTGACGCCAGAGGCAGAAGCCAAGCTGCTGGCCCCAGAGCCCCCCAAGGAGAAGGCGACGCTCTTCGAGACTGTGATCTGAGCGTGGGGAGGGTCGCGCTGCTCCCGCCTGCCATAGCAATAATGCCAGCACCGCCTCCCACCCACGCTGCCCCGTGCCCCCCGCACCGCCCTGGCCGCCGGCCTCGCTGCAGGGGGGTGAACACAGCGAGGTGGGGGGTGCTGGGGGCCACGGAGCCAGGGCAGCCGCGGGGCACAGGAGGGGTCCCCGGCGCGGGGGAGCGTGGCGGCCCGGGGGGAAGGCAGGGAGGCCGCCGGCTGGGGGAG